AAATTAATTATATTTTTGTACATACATGAAGAAAACATTTGTTTGCACCTCCATACCCTATATTCTCTTCCACATTTATTTTTTTTAAATAAATATTACAAGTTCTGAGGTTTACATTCTGAGAGAACATTATCAAGGCTGAGACGATGGACTAGACGCAACAAACTTAAATTTAATCTAGACAAGACAAAATATATAATCTTCACAAAAAAGAGAATTGTACCAGAATTGGATATTCGACTCAATACAGTAAGAATAACGCAATGTGATACATTATCATATTTGGGGCTTCTCTTTGACAGAAAACTGAATTGGAACAGACATATAGATAATCTATATGACAACACTTTAAGGATTATAAATGGACTATCAGTGGCTGCAAGAGCGACATGGGGACTCAGATCGAAAGTGTTAAAGGAAATTTATGAAGCTGCTGTACTTCCTAAGATGCTCTACGCTGTGCATGTCTGGCATCCGGCCGTTGAACGTAAGAAAAATTTGGTGAAGTTGGAAAGGCTTCAGAGGTTAATTGCGATTAAGATATGTAAGGGCTATCGTACACTATCATTCGAGGCCACAATATTATTGGCAGGGCTGTTGCCAATCCAAATGAAGATTGAAGAACGAACGACCTTATATAACATTAGAAAAGGAAAGAGAGGATACAAAGACCTGACCCTAGACAAAATAGAAAGAATCACTGACTGTAAATCTTGGTTACACCCTGCAACAAGTTTATGGACTGGACCGGGAATTACTTCTGAAAATACTGATGTTTTCACTGATGGTAGTAAGGACGGCGAGAATGTTGGATGTGCATGGTTGTTCAGAGCTCAAGATGGTAGGAATATAGAACATCAATATAAATTAGAATCATATTGCTCAAATAATCAGGCAGAAAAATTCGCTGTTTTAAAGGTTACTGAATACATTTATGAATACCCTCTACAAACGAATACTCACGTTACTATAAATACAGACAACAAAGTTCTGCTAGACTCTGTTAATAATTGGGACATTCATGATTACTTGACTGACCAAATTAGAAACAAATTGTTAATGATGAGAACTGTAGGGAAAGTAGTGACTCTAAAATGGGTAAAAGCACATTGTGGGATTGAGGGCAATGAACGAGCCGATTGCCTTGCAAAAGAAGCAGCTAAAAGCGATTTGCCGCCATCGTATCATCAAGCTCCTTTATCGTATATTAATATGAATTTAAAGTTGGATTTCATCAAAAGATGGGATCACATATGGGTGACCTCAGCTAAGTCACCAAGCTTACACAGATTTATACCACACATTTCAATTCACAATTACAGACACATTCACAGTAATGACTACAAACTAACGCAAGTACTTACGGAACATGGGAATACAAAACAATATCTTAAAAGATTCAACATTATACAAACAGACTTATGTGATGAAGACGGACAGGTTCAAAATTTTAAACATATAATATATGAATGTAAACGATTTGACAGACAGCGATTTGAGTTAATAAAAAGTATAATTATCAAAAGAGGAAATTGGCCTGAGACGGAACAAAAGTTATTTACTGAATTCAAGACAGACTTTCTTAGATTTATTAGATCGATCGACTTCGACTTACTAACCAGGGATGGGCAGCGTGGGTGATTTCTTTTTGGCTTTGTTGGATTGACTTTGTGTGTTTAATATTTAATTTTCTGATTTAATTTTTGTGTGTTTATTCTTTGTGTTTTTTTTTGTTAATGTATATAAATTTGAACTAAAAATGTAAATCATGTGAAACTAGAAAAAAAAAACAATTGTAAACAAATGTAATTCATGTAGTATGTCTTTAAGGCATGGAGCATGAAGGAAAATCAAATAAACGATCCTTGTGTGGGGTTACCACGTAAGGAAAAAAAAAAAAAAAAAAAAAAAAAAAAAAAAAGTTCTGAGGTTGGTTGTTGAACTGTTGTTACAGAACTGAATATTTTATAATTTAAGGTAGGTCATTTTATGTGTTTTGCAATATGAAAACCTGTTCCTTTGTCCATCAACCTTCATTTACTCCATTGTTTTGTCATGAAACTGGATAAAGAAAATATTATAGAACTTAAGAAATAATAGGTAACCAAAGCAGACAAGACCACAGTGGTTGGAAAGCTTGAGTTATTTATAAGTTTTATGTTCATTATGAAGCCAATAGGGAAAAAATATTTTTAATGTCAAAGTCAAAAAATTACAGTGAAATGGAAGAAGAGGAATTATGGACTTCATCAAAATTATTATTTAATATTTTGAGAAACAAATTTAAAAAAGATTAAAAACATAATTCTTGTGAAGGTTGGTACAATTTAGGTATATTTATATCACAATTTAAATTTATATCACAAGGAATAAAATTTAAAATAATTTTCAATTGAAAAAGCCAACCGTATAAATAATTCAAGTAGTTGGTTGGGGTTTGGACTGCTTTGTCCAAACCCCACATTTTGCAGGTTTCCGTTTGAGTGAAACGTCAAAACGCATTAAAATAGACTTATACTTACCTAAAAGTTGTTTCCAGTGTGTATATGCCGCCCCATATGGCAGCAATGCCAGAAATGGTGAGAAAAAAAAAGTGCATATGCCAACAACTTGAAATAATCTTATTGAGAATTGAACATTCAAATTAATTCATATTGTAATTAGAGAACAAATAACCTATTTAATGACTGTTGCAATTTAGTACGTTTTAAAAACAATATATTTGAACAATCAATTCTAATTGTCTATGACAATTTGACAATATGTTATATATGGCTTATAAATCATTTCTGGAAAAAAGTTTCCCCACCAAATAAATTCATGGCTATAGGAGAAAGCTGATACAGACAAATCTTAATAGATTCAGGGTCACCGTTAATCTTTCAGAGTCTAAAAACAAAGATTTATGTTCAGATTGACGATCCTGTGTTACTGAATGAATGTCAAGTCAGAAAAGCATTTGTTCCTTATTACCTAAAAGCCTGTCAATAGTCTTGGAATGTACATAATTTAAATAATACTAATGTGGGAAATTTTAAAGGAAACATCTAAAAGATGTATACATTTTTTTAATATAGTTGTAAAAAAATAAATGGATATTTAAGGAGTAATAGCTAAAATTCAAAGACAGAAAAAGTATCAGAGGCCATTTTACCTATTTTTATCATCAATAAGGAAATAATTAAGTTTTTAATTATTTAGGAAGCCAATTTTAAATATTTATTTTTAATAAATTTAAACTCTAAAAATGAATTCTTGCGCTATCTCTTATTAAGAACTAAAACTAATTTATAGTACCCCAAAGTGTCAAGAGGTAGCGCTCTAGTCTGTCACTAAAATATCTTTTTATGATGAAAAACAATTTAATTTTCAATTGTTTTCGGTTTAAACATAAACATGAATTAATATTAATCAAGTATATTTTGTAATTCAATAATTACTGAATATTAGTTGTGGAATATATTTAGTAAACTCATCCAATTTTATTAATGTATATGTAACACCATACAATGCAGTGGCAAAACTGTAACTCATGAAACACTTAAATTAAAAGTTGTTAGTTAAATTAAAAGAAATTAGTTTTTATTTTATTTGTTTACAAAATTTATTAAAACATGTGTAACTGTTATATAAATATTTGTGCCCTTTAATAAATTTTGAGTTACATTAGAATTCAATCTCTCTTAAATTGCCAAGATTTACAACGAATGGAACTTATTCAAAGTTATATTGGTCCATAATAAGAAACTTATTTGTCTGTAATTGGCCTCTGATATAAGTTTATACATTTAATAAAATAAAGATTATGAGCCATTAATTAGAATAATAATAAAAAGTAGAAATAGTAGCAAAAAATATATAATTATTTTGAAAGAAATAGTAATTTTACTTTAATTGTGAAAACTATTGAAAGATATACTTCGGATAGAAAAAAATCATACCATAATTTTAATCTAACATAAATAGTGTTTATTCAAAATAATTGAAAGAACAAATTTCTTTTTTATAAATATAATTTTTCTTTTTTAAATCTGTATTAGGTAATATGAATTAGCAATGGAGGTAACTTTAAGCCAATCAAAAACCAGTATTTTCTATAACTCCATGCAACATTATTTATAATGCAGTTCACAATTGTTTGAGTGGTTAGTTTATTTTAAATAAATGAAATGTGAGCTGTTCTTTCATGTGAGAAGTATTCGATCATTGTATTGTTCACTTTCGTACCTAAATTTCCTTATTTTAAAGAAAGAAGCAGAAGGTAAACTCCAACAAGAAAGAAGGCTAGTTGGAAATTTCTCATGTGAGTAATAACGTTTCAATAATGCATGGCAATTATTATTATTTTTTTTAAGTAGTTGATGAGAATATTCTTTGAAGTATTTCATTTTATACTTCATTTTCATTGTCTACAGTACAATGTTAATGCTTAGTAATTTTAATTTTTTGTTTCTGTAATGTTTAATTTGAATTAGACAACCTTTAATGGTTTATTTTTTAATACCATTATTTTTTTATTATTATTATTAAAAAGTGTTAATTCTATTACTATACTGTATGCTATTACAATACTAGTAGTTTTGGCTATTCATAGTTGAGCCTAAACATCTTACTATTGTATATGTGTGCATTGTACAATGTACATTGTATTACATATTAGTGTATTTGGTTCGTTGATGAGCATCGGAAATCCATCAGGGCATTCCTAAACTCATCAATGTAACAGTGTGCAAGTTTATAAACTCAACACTGAGATCATTGATGAGCATCGTAAATTGACCAATGGATTAGCACTGAGTTTAGGAACTTGTCCTAAATAGGTACGTGTATATTCTGATCCTGTTCTATTGCAGACATGTTTTTTATTTGTTACAATATTCAGTGATATATTACTCATTGCTCTTAACTGAGACAAATAATTAGAAATCAAAAGGTTAATAAAAATTATGAAAACGTTTTATTAAAGATATAAAAGAAAATTATATAATTCAAACTAAAAGTGAAAGACATAAAAAACAAAATATTATTAAGCCAATACCTTCTTCTTACTAAGTAATAGATATATGAAAATTGATAAAACAGATCTCTTTGACTTAAACAGTAAGATGGTGTGCTTATTCTGTTTTTCTTTTATTATTATTTATTTTGATTTATCATTTAATATATTAGTTGAATCTCATTTATATAGTTATAAAAAATACACACTACAATAACATTTTCTATGGCATCAGTATCCAGTAATTAACAGTATTATAAAAGTAATGTTATAAAAATTTCTTATTAAATCCACCAGAAAGGGCCTTAAATTATGCCAATTAAGAAATTCTCTTGAATTAAGTGGATTTAACATTTTGTCAATTCAATTTTGACTCAGAAAGTCTTTGTGGCACACACATTGAATCATTTAGATATGGATTTTTTTTCTTTAAATATTTTTTCTGAAAATACCCAAGCAGCAAACCAGAGATAAGACCAATCCTGGAATCCAAACAGAATTTGCTGAAGCGCCACTGAAAAAATAAATAATATTATAAATTGATAAATACGCCCACATGGTTTAAGTATATTATAAACTTCAAAAGTATTTGAAAAGAATATCTAAAAGGTTCAAATAAAAGCCACTTAAAAATTATAGTTAAATTTTGACCACTATTTTATATATTTTTTGTCCGATTGTGATTATTATTTTACTATGGATTAAGAAAATTAAAAAATAATTGAGGATCAATCTTTCAAAAGTTAATATATCCGCTTCTCATGAATTAAGATTTTTTTTGGCAAGTTAAAATTCTACATACAAAAATCATTCAGTTTATTTTAAAACTTCAATTTTCTTCTATCAAATAGGTATTAAAAATCAACATTTTAAATCAGGGAAGAGATAATGCTGGGTGATATCCTTCTCCATGCCTGACATGTCAGTTTCGTTACTTTATATAAGAAGCCTCCATTATAAATGATTGAATAAATTAATTTTTTTTTTTAAATGGATATATTGTCTTTTGATAGAATTCACTTCAATTCTTCTATTTCCTTGGTTAGCATTCTTTCAATTATTTCTATTAATTATTAACAAATACTAATTGTAACTTAGTATCATGTGTTGATATGCTGTTGATTTATATTTTGGGCAAAATGGGTAAAAATAAATATAGGCATTGAAATTAAGGCATTATCCTAATTAAAAAAATATCTACACCTAACTTAATTCAACAAAAACTTTTTCTTATATTTTCTTAAGTGAAAAGTTTCATGGGTTGGAAAACATTATTTTAATTGAAAAGCAAGATTAAACGTCTACAATTGTCTCTTGAAATAAAAATTTAAGGAGAACCATTTTCATCTTTTGTCGATTTATACAATTTTTATTTTACAAAAAATATATCATAGTTTTATTTAAAAATGGTTTGTCATTTCTTAATCTCCACAAATAATCAATTGTAATCATTGACTTTTAACTGAATTTAAAATTTCTATCTATGCTTACCAGTAATAATACAATTGCAATATGTGAATTCCTTTAAATGAAAATGTTTTTTGAAAGTTAATAATTATAATGAGTTCTGCGCATGCGTTAACCTTACACATATACTCTTTATTTCGTCTCTTATTAAGTGACTTTATTAACAGTGAAATAATTCATGTTATATGTGAAAAAGTAGTGTAAACTGTTAAGTTAACAATTAAGTTGAAACTGGACATAAACAAGGTGAGTAATCACTTATTTATAACGGCATTGTGAACAGTGTAAATAGACCTGAGGATAGTGATAGATAACAAGCCGGCCATATACATTCGTTAATCCGACCAGTGGGCTGCTGCCCTTTGGCGGAAGCAGATCTACGTTACTTAGACTTCTACAAACTCGCGTAATATATACGTAATTGATAAAGGACATTTTTTTTTTTTTTTCAAATTATTACAGTTACCTCTAATTAAATTAATATGAGATGCGCTATTTTCATATGGTAATGTCGAGCAAAGGTAACAATCGAACTTTAAGATCTAGGAGTCTCGATACCACAAAGAGTTCACCCATCAAGAAAAGGGCTAGACGCTCTAAAAAAAATACCCCGCCAGCTACACCAGAGAGCTCAGTTGACGAAGTTGAAAATCAACCTGGCACATCATCACAAAATATGTCAACACAAGTTATACCAATACAAGGTACGCTAGAAGAATCGCCTTTTTTTACAGCTAATCCATTCCAAGTGCTGTCAAACACACAGAATGAACAAATGGAAGCAGTACCCATCCCTAGTGAACCTAAACCTCCACCAATATTCGTTAGAAATATAAAAAATTTCCAATTAATGTGTCAACAATTAAATAATATAGTGGGCTCAGGTAAATACGTATGCCAAAGCCGCACTAATGACACGAAATTAATGCCTGACACCCCAGATACGTACAGAAAAATTGTCAAGTATTTATCAGACACTAAGGCGGATTATCACACATATCAACTGCGCCAAGAGAGAGCGCTCAGGGTGGTGATCAGGAGATTACACCCATCAACACCGCTGGATGCCATTAAAGAAGAACTAACTGAGATGGGGTTCCGTGTTCGACAAATAGTGAATATATTCAAGGAAGATAGAGAACAGCCTGGTACAAAAAATAAAATACCGCTCCCACTATTCTTCGTTGACCTTGACCGAACGCCCCAGGTCGAAGAAATCTACAAGGTCACACGCCTTTATTACACTAGCGTTGTTGTAGAAAAGCCCTACACTAAGCGCGACATTGTACAATGCCATAACTGCCAGGCTTATGGTCATACGAAACGCTATTGCCACCACATTCCTAGATGTGTCAGGTGCGGTGATCAACATAAAACTGAGGACTGCCAGAAGTCCAGAAGAACACCAGCAGTATGCGCTTTATGCCACCAAGGGCACCCAGCGAACTACAAGGGTTGCCAAACATATAAGGAACTGAAAGCAAGAATTTATGCAGCTCCAAGAGAAGAACGGCCATCCAGGCCACCAAGACAACCCTCTAGAACTGTAAATACAAGAGTGTCCTATGCTCAGATGTTCAAAGGAGACACTGCACCCACACAAACTCAGGCCCTGCCACAAGAGCCTCAACCTCGAGTATTCACATCTCAACCACAAGACCCTTATCCCACCTCTGAACCTAGGCCTAATAACCAGACATTCATTCCTCCTCCTCCCAATGCCACTGACCTCACAAGCCTATTGACTTCTTTCCTCTCTGAATTCAGGTCACTCATCACTCCTCTCATTTCCTTGCTTACCAATGTTGTATCCAACCTCATCCCACTGTCGAGAAATCCTTAAATGTCCCCAATCAAATCCCTCTCCGTTCTCCTTTGGAATGCGAATGGTATTCGAAATCACGTCAACGAACTAACAATCTTATTACAGGACAAAAACATTGATATAGCCTTAATAACTGAAACTCGACTTACCAACAAACGACCACTTAACATCCCCAACTATCATATCTATCGAACCGACCATCCTGATGGAACAGCACATGCTGGCACTGCCATAATTATCCATCAATCCCTTTCCCATCATCTATTCCCTTTGCTAACCCATAATTTCCTACAATCCTCTGCCGTGATAATCCAAACTTCCCTTTACCCAATAGCAGTAGTCGCAGCATACTCCCCGCCTAAAATACCCATCTCAGAATCCCAATTAACTTCCTTCCTTAACTCCTTAGGACACCACTTCCTTCTAGGTGCAGACTTAAATGCTAAACACCAGCAATGGGGAGCCAGAACCACAAATTCCCGAGGACGAACATTGCTATCTGCACTTAATTCCCATCACAGCAACATCCTCTCACCCAATTCTCCCACATACTGGCCAACAGATCCTAACCGCAATCCCGATCTCCTAGATTTTTTCATCCACAAAGGTCTAGGGTCCCTTCATTATTGCATCTCAAGACTTGATGATCTTTCCTCAGACCATAGTCCCCTAATCCTAACGGTCTCCACATCACCAATTCCCAAACCACCTCCACCTTCATTTATCAGGGGGCCAGTTAATTGGAACCTCTTCCGTCAAATACTGGATGATAATATTGACCTCAGAGTTTCCTTAAAAACACCCGCAGACCTAGATGAAGCAGTATATTCCATGACTACCTTGATCCAACAAGCAGTTTGGACTGCATCTTCACCTTATCCTTCTAAAAAATACCGCAAAATAAATCCTCTACCCCAAGACCTACTGGACCTTATTAATAGAAAACGATGCTCTAGGACCATCTGGCAAAGAACCAGGCATCCTGATGATCGGAAATCATATAACTATTATTCCAAGCAGGTAAAACAAAAACTGGCTACGTTTAGATCACAATCCTATAATTCCTATCTTTCCTCACTATCTGCAAGTGATAACTCCCTCTGGAATGTAACTAAAAAAATCCTTAAATTCCAATCCATTTCCCACCCCCTCCGCCGTGATGATGGTTCCTGGGCTTCGTCAGATGAGAATAGAGCAGAAGAGTTTGCTAAACATCTATCGTACACATTCACTCCTCATCCTGAACTCCATCCCTCCCATACTGCTGAAGTTAAAGAATTCCTCTCTTCACCGATTCCTCTCTCCTTACCTCCTACAGCCGTCAACCCCTCTGAGGTCAAATTCCTTTTAAAGAACCTAAAACCTCGCAAATCTCCAGGACACGATCTCCTTACTTCCCAGATCCTCAGACAACTTCCCAAAAAAGCAATTATATTCCTTACATACCTATTCAACTGTATCCTCCGCACAACCCACTTTCCTCTGGTGTGGAAACACTCCATAATTATCCTCTTTCCTAAACCAGGTAAACCTGTTAATTGTACATCATCCTATAGACCGATAAGCTTACTTCCGATCCTTTCCAAAATCTTTGAGAAAATCCTTCTCAAACGCATCCTACCCATACTCGAATCCCACAATATCCCTTCCCATCAGTTTGGATTCCGCTCAAGACACTCCACTGTCCAACAAGGCCTTCGCGTTGTGGACCACATATCCTCTGCACTTGAAAACAAGCAATATTGCACTGGTGCCTTTCTGGACGTAGCTCAAGCTTTCGACCGGGTGTGGCACGATGGCTTGCTTTTCAAGCTCAAAACCCATTTACCTCAAGCCTTGTATCTAGTCCTCAAATCCTACCTTTCAAATCGCTCCTTTCAAGTCCGCTGCGGCACTGAACTCTCCAAACATTATCCAATTGAGGCCGGTGTCCCACAAGGCAGTGTCTTGGGCCCAGTTCTCTACATCCTTTTTACTGCTGACATCCCTTCAAGTCCTGATACCTTCCTAGCAACATTTGCTGATGATACTGCCATCCTATCCTCCCATTCGGATCCTCTAATAGCTTCCCGGAACCTGCAAAGACACCTCTCCTTCATTGAGCAGTGGTGCAACAACTGGCGCATCAAAATTAATGAATCAAAATGTAAACATGTAACTTTTACTCTTCGACGCAGATCCTGTCCGCCAATCCTTTTTAATTCAATTCCTCTTCCCTACTCAGACACAGTCCGATACCTTGGCTTCCTTCTGGACAAAAGACTGACTTGGAACCCACATACGAGACTTAAAAGACAAGAGCTTAACCGACGATTTGGTCAGCTATATAGACTACTAAACAGAACATCTCATCTCTCAACAGAAAACAAATTATTAATCTACAAGACCATACTGAAACCTATCTGGACCTACGGACTTGAGCTGTGGGGGACAACTAAATCATCGAATATCAAACGCATCCAATCCTTCCAGTCTAAAGTCCTTCGAACAATAGTCAATGCTCCATATTATGTCACGAACAAGACCCTACACCATGACCTTAACATCCCATATGTCCATGACATCATCCCATCCAGATTCTCCAACTTTCACCAGAACCTCATACATCATCCCAATCCTCTAGCCCAATCCCTATCCAGCTCCGAGCATCCATACCATCCCCCTCGAAGGTTGAAACGGCAGTGGCCTCGAGATCTTTTGTAAATATGCCTTTGGAGTCCTGGCAATGGCCAGCTTCTCCACTCATGTCCTGAGCGTCTGTGGCTCTAGTGCCCTCTTTCAGTCTCCACTGGCTTCTAATACTAGTGATGCGGCTGGAAAAGTGGCGCTGGGATCTTCCGGAGTCTTGCTTTGCCTTCCACGTGTGGGGGAAAAAGCCTGGTTCGGAGATTCTTGGGCGAATGTATATATTGTATATAGTTATGATTGTGTTTAGAAGTTTTTATTTTATTTTATTTGTTTATTATTATTATTTTTTCTTTTCTTTTTATTTATCTTCTTCATCAGTATTATTTATTTACTTCTTATATTTATATTTATTTCTTTATTATTTGTATATATTGTATGAATGAGAACTTTTAGCCCTAATGCTTATAGCCCTCCAGCAGTGGCTGCATGTATTATTATTCAATAAATAGATTAAAAAAAAAAAAAAAAATAATTATAATGATTAAAAATCAAAATAAACAGGGGTTGATAAACAGGGGGCAGTAAATATATTTAAAATTGTCATAGGTGCAATAATTCAATGTTCAAATTTTACTGAGTCACAATATGCCCAGAATGCAGTGATGAAAGAAACAATCAATGAAAATAGCAATATTGTGTTTTTAAAAATTTTATTTGTATTTTTCCAATTAGTTTTATATATATTTTTTTTCAAATTTTGTTGTAAAGTTTAGATAACGTTAACTTAATTTTAATTTTGATTAGAATATTGCTCACGATTTTTTTTTTTTTTTATTTTGATGTCAAAGATCTTATTTTTGAGTTTACAGAAAATTATCTTGTTGACCAGATGCAACTTTTACAGGGTTAATTTTTGAGATACTTAAATTGGAACAATTTAGGGTTTTTTTTATTTTTAAATATTGTTTCTCAAATTAAATCAAATTTTTAATCTTAAATCGTTAAATTTGTTTTCTCTTTTTTTCCATTTAATTAAATAAAATCATCACTCTATAAGTCTTTTTATGAACCATTGGGTAATTAAAATGTTTCGGAAAACTTTCGGAATGAAAATGGTCTAAAAAAATTATTGATTATGTATTTAATAATAAAGATATAAAGTTTTGTTAGTTTGTTTGTTCAGGGGTTAACAGAATTAAACAGCCATGTCATCAAGGCCTGTTGATTTATTTGAACTTGGTTTGGGTATAATATAAGGTTTGATTAACTCATTTGGTTCAATACAGATCAATCGTTGCCCACAAATCTTTCAACTAACCACACTAAAACCAAATTCTGGAAGTTTAGTATTAAGGTAATCCTCTAACAGGTTCTATCTTTGGGACATCTTCCATCGGTTATCCTCCAATTAATTTTTTAGGAATTAGTTTGTTATTTACTCCCAAAACATTTGTTGACCTCGATGTTTGAATCGCTCTATTCAAACCTGTTCTTTGATATACCTATATCCTCTGACTAGAAACCATGTATTTATTTAAATCTTTTTGTAAAATTTAATATTAAAATACAAAATATTGCTACAATATAATAATCAACTACAAAAGAAAAAAAGAAAAAGATAAATGACACACTTATTCTTGGATTTGCTCTGGTTTTTGCCCCTTGGTACGTTTGAAGACCTGTACAAACACACACAAAAAAAAGAAATAATAAAAAAAACAAAAAAAACTTAGCTTATGTTGAAACAGCTTGGCTACTCATGAAAGCTATAACAATTTAATTAACTCAAATGACTCATACCCAAATGAATATAGAATGGACAAGTTTCTAAATTCAGTGCTGAACTCATTGATTGCATTGTCTCTAAAGTGGGTTTGGTCATCTAAACGATGCCAACAATGCTCAGTGCTGTGTTTAGGAACCTACTCATTCCATTAATACAAATATTACTAAATTTAACTTTTTTTTTTTTGACATTAACTTGTTCTTGGTTTGTATAATTTAGATATTGATTCTAATCAATAATTGTTAGTTTAAATCATATCCTTAATTAGCAAATTGCTATAAGCTATTAGAAACAGAAGCTCAGTATAAAACAGATAGACCATTGTTTAAATATTGTCTAACTTACCCAGGGGAAGATATAGAAACCGTCCTGTCCTTGTAATTAAATACGGTATAGTACTTTCCAAGAAATATGTCACCAAGTATCCACTCGTTATTAATGTTGGCAGTGCTTATTCCAATTAAGCAATATCCACTAGTTTGTAACTGGAAAATAATTGTTTAAAAATTTAGATGTATATGTATTAGATAATTGAAAGATATATAATTAAATAGCCATGGTAATGATAAAAATATTTAATCAAGTGCTGTCATCTTGAAAGTTTATTCCTTTAACTATTTTTTTTTTTTGATCCCTTAATTATTCATAAAATGATTTATTTAAATTTAAATAAAAAAGGAATGATTACATACCATGAACCATGGTTACTTTGGGAATAGAGGTGACTATCTACTAGAGTTTATTTTGAATTAAAATCATCTGACAGACTGAAAAATTGTTAAATTCAGACTAAAGAGAAGTTGTCTGAATACAAAGATGTTTTAACCAGTATTGAAACCTAACAAAAATATGTTTCTTTTCGAAAATTCTACAATGTTTTACAATAACCCTGTATAAATTTGGTGATAGAATTTCGCAAACAAGACGTAGCCAGTATTTTACTTTGGAGGGAGGTCGTGATATCAAAACCTTATAACAATTTGTATTCTTCTTCTTTTGGGTCAACCTGTTGTGGCTATTAGAGTAGGGTAGTGTTTAAGCAGAATTGCCACTGGTCTCTGTTTCTTTCTAGGTTTCTGGGTCTTTTCCTCCTTTTGCACAAACGGTTGACGTATTACAGATAGGACATCCTTGGTCGGCCTCGAGGGCATCTTCCGACCATCAGGGGCATAATCAAGAAGGAATCAACTGTCATTAAAAAAGAGTTTTTTTTTTTTAATATTTCAACTATATTCCACACACAAATATTGGATGTTTTGAAGCAATTTTTTTTTTTTATAAATATTACAATCTGCCTCAATAAAGGGCACTTACAGTAGAGTTAAGAGAGCACATTCACACCATATTTACAAAATCAAAAAATAAATAAGGTAATTTCAAAATAATATACAGCGAAGTAAGAACAAAATAAAATATCATAATGATGGAAGAAAATATAAATAATAATAATAATAAAATAAAATCGAATTAAAATGTTCTTAAAAAAAAAAAAATATCTTAGACGCAGGCATACCTATACACTATTTACAATCAGCCATGGGAACTCCGAACCAGTCTTTCCCCCCCCCACTTGTGGAGAGAAAAGCGAGGCTTGAAGAAAATTAAAATTGGAAGGAACTTGTGTCGGTGAAATTTTTTTTTCTTCTTTTTTTGACAAATATTTAAATTTTTTTAAGTAGAACTATAAATGTTCCAATTAACCTGCAACTATACTTGATGTGGTCTTTCCCTTTTTCCATAATTTGAAAAATCTCCACCTTTACAAATTTTAATGGCACAACCACCTTTTTTTGGGCACACCTGCATTAAAACTTCTTCAAACAAAACGTTTTGTAAACCACCCCATTTTTAAAAATAATCCCTTCCTCCACTAAGAAAACCATGGCTAAACAATAATAAAATATTTATTTAATATTTACATTTGTTAACAAATAGTCCCTTCCTGACAGACTGTACGACTTGCCATCTATTACGAAAGTTATCTGTGGTAGTTGGTCAATTTTGCTGCATTTGACCTGAAAAATATTATCAAAATCAGTTCAATTTCATTTAAAGCATGGATATCGACATTAATATTTCGACAAGATCTTTACAACTAATAAGGAAGATTCATCCATTTCCACATCGTATTTTTCGAAGGTGGTCAGAACTTCTTGCCAGGCTGATGTTGGAGCAATTATCAATGAAGTTCCTGTGTCAAGAACAGCATGGATCCTTTTCGAAATTGTGTAAGATCCTAACCTAATCCTGAAAATGTACAACTAGTAATAGAAAATTATACTTTTTGTTTAAATAATTATTATAACTATTAAATAAATGAAAAGTACATTTAAGACATGTATCTATTTTACATATTGTCAGATTGCCATAATGCCTGCCTATGACTTTTATTATCCACCTTTATGAGTAAATATGTATAGATGTAATATTAATAGTGATATCCCTTGGGGCATGGAATATGTAAAATTAAAAATATATAATCTCCTCATTGAGTTACTATGAAGTGCAAAAAAAAAAAAAAGTCTTGGAACAGTTTAATCATGAACAGTTTAATGGTAATAGCTATTGGAACAGACTTTTCATTGAGGGGAGGCGGGGCAATGGACTCCTCCCCTAAAAAAAAGGCTCGGAAGTTTATATTATGTATAAAAATAATGAGTGACAATTACCATTATTTAACATAATAATTGTGAAAGATACAATATATATTTTTTTTGTGGGTTGATGTAATGACAAATTGAAGAGATGGATAGTTGAGGTGATCAGTAACAATAATAGTTTATAGTTTCTCATACTTTTTGTTATCTGGTTCTTTTCTTAGCCCTGATGAAGGCCTAAACTTTGGCAAATATAGAAATAAATATAATTATTTATTTTTACAATTTTTTATTTTGACTGATCACCCTAACCATCCATCTCTTCAATATAATTTTATGAGAAGGAGTTAATTAGGGGGTGCGGTCAAATAAATACTAAATTAAAATATAGTAATTATTTAATTTTTTCCGACGTTTCGACCCACTTTGCAGGTCGTCTTCAGGGCTACAAAAGATACAAAACCTGTTGAAAATAAAACGTAAATATAAATAGATATAAAATAAGAAGAAGTTGCCAGATACAGAAATAAAAAGATGATATCAGAGATATAGTGGGTGACAATGAAGTTAAAAAGACTTTTAAATATCATCCACTATATCTCTGATATCATCTTTTTATTTCTGTATCTGACAACTTCTTATTTTATATCTATTTATATTTTTTATTTTCAACAGGTTTTGTATCTTTTGTAGCCCTGAAGACGACCTGCAAGTGGGTCGAAATGTCGGCAAAAATTAAGTAATTACTATATTTTAATTTAGTATTTATTTGACCCCACCCCCTAATTAACTCCTTCTCATATTATATTAACGGTGAACCATCTCTACATCAATATAATTGTATATATGAAAAAATGTATAGATAAAAATGGAAGGGCACACATGAATGAACCATAAAATCCTAGGATATATTGCTACATATAATTTTGTTTGAATATAAACTAATAATTCATTAATAGGAATGTAAGTCGTGGTAAAATACATGTGTACATACTTTTCGGCTTTAGCTTAATCATCTAGTCCACTTTTCCTATTTTCTTAATTGATATTAGTTTAAATACTTAATACATGCATATAAATTAATTGTTATTCATTTGGATTTTATTTTTGTTCTCCCAATTATTGAAGGGAGGGGAGGAGCAAAATGTTGTTTTCACACATCCTCTGTTTTTATTGGGAGAAGGGGAGCCATAGCCCTATTCCTCCGATCATCATCTTGGAGTATCGAAAGGTAACTAGTGATAGAAGTTCTTTTTAAGAATCTATAAAAAACCTTTCATAATAATAATAAAATAAAATAATTAGTTTTAACGTTACTTACTCATCCGTCCTTACAGACCAGAACTGTGAATCCTCCACTACATTATGAACGTCAAACGTGTTGTTTCCTCCGTTGTTGGGATCTAATCCACCGATGATCAACCGGCCACCGCTGTTACTGTCCACATTCCTTATAAATAATAATAATAATCATAATGTGATAATTTGAAATAAAAATATAATGATTCATATAAAATTCAGTTCTATTGAGTAGGGTACAAACCTTATTTGGAATTCACACTGTATCCCAAAAATGAACTATGCATTAGAATTAATAATTTATAAGTTTGTATATAAATTAATTAATTATTAATAGTAAAATTAATAAATAATCTAATTGATGATGTAATTTATTTATTTAGACAAATAATATTCTGTCACAGGGACAACAATTATATTGATAAATGAACACATTCACACCGTATATACAAAAAAATTAACAAAAGTAAAATAATAACTAAATAATAATAAATAAAAACTATGAATGTAATTAGAATACCAATTCCTATCACAGAAAACCATGCATACAATGAGAAAAAGTTAGTATAAGAACATCTTAATCCATTCCAAGTTAGTCAGAAATCAAAATATAATAGTCTGTGATATGGACCCCTTTTCATCAACTTATTAACATCCCTCTAAAATTTCATGAATTTATAATATGTATACATGTATGTATATATCTGTATGTATATATATATATATATATATATATATATATATATATATATATATATATATATATATATATATATATATATTATAATTAATATAATATCACACTATATGATTACCATTGAGTTAAAGGGGTATAATTACATTTTTGAAAAAATAGAACTAAGTGCATGGATTATCTGAATTTTTGTCAATAAATTTGGTAGTTAATAGATATACCTGTTCTCTTTAAGTGGCCAAGCACTAAACATCCAAACAAATGTTAACTAGGCTTTGAAGGTAAAGGTAATATATGAAAAAAAGCTATAGTTGGGCAAACTTTAATGGAATAACAAATTAATAAAAATTTATCATATTTTATATGATTGTTAATTTACTAATTATTCGTTTAAACTGATCAGCAATACTTTATTCAATAATATTTGAACAAACAAATGTATTGAATAATTCATATTTATTCGGTGATTGTAAAATTATGCCTAGATTTTTAAAATCTAGAGCTCTCTTTCAGTCTTCATTGGCCTCCAATACCAGTGACGCGATTGAAAGAGAGGCCATTGGGATATCCTGGTCCTTACCTTCTACATGTGGAGGACAGAGCTTGGTTAAGATTTATTCTATTTTTTTATTATTAATATTTATTTTTTTTATTTAAAGGTGTTTTCTTCATAAATTGAGGGTTCCCTCAGATGAACTCCTCACACAGTCGTTTCCGCCACTTCTCTCTGTCCATTCCTTCTTGCTCCGTCAGCCCTCGGCCCACCATATTCTCAGCCATAACATCTCTCTTTCTGACATGAGCTCTTCCTCTCTTCATCCCACCCGTGGCCTCCCATTCAATTGCCATTTTGGGTAGTCGTTCGCTGTTCATCCTTTTCACATTCCCATACCACTGTAATATTTTTTCTTGCATTATTTCTAGTATATTATTCTTAACTTTCATACTTTTTCTGATGACTCGTTCCTGATTCTTTGCATCCTTGAGACTCTAGTCGACTTCATCCAAAAATCCATCTCCACAGCTAGAGAGCTAGAAATATTTTGCTTTGTGATTTCTCGAGCAGCCACGTTTCCGAACTATAGAGCATTAAACTCTCTATCAGGGCTTTATATATTAATTTCTTTGCTTTATTGTAAATATTTTTGGTCCCAGACAACTGCATTGAGCATACTGTCCGCCTGTTTGTCAATCTTTTTTCAATATCCTTCCTCGCACTTCCATTGCTTTCAAGTGTTGAACCAAGATAGTAAAGTTGGTGTACTAAAAAAATTGTTAATATTTGTTTCTCTATTATCTGTATATGTTGTATGAATACATAAAAACTTGTAGACCTAATAATTATTACCCATCAAAAAGTGGCTGATTTTATTGTTCAATGAAATTTAAATATTATCGATTTTGAAGTAGCAAGGTCATGTTTCCACTTATTTTAACATATTGGAGTCCTTCTATACTCAGGTTCAACATTAAAGGAAGTATAACGTAAATCTAAAAATTGACAGTATTTTCATGTGAAGCTCAAGCTGACTACCCAATAATGAACCACAATATTAAAGATATTCTATGAGCATGTGATTATTTTTCACCATTATGAATATGTTACTTGATTGTAAAAGAGTGTAATTAATCATTAAAAAATTAATTTAAAACATTTTGAAATATATAATATAAATGTTTAAATATGAAATATAAACTGTTTAAACATCAAATATAACAGTTTAAACTTTAAGAATGGATTCAGAAATATTTATATAAAAAAAAAATTGGCAGTGAAGAAAAATCATTGCAATTAAAGGGGAAGTTCAACTTCATCCATCGTTTACTTAAAACGCAGTTTTCTTTTTTTTTTCATTTATGCATCTTTGTTATAGCAGCCTCATATAATTTTCGAAATTGACTCTTTCTTGTAATAGGTTAACTTTAAATAAAAAACTTCTCATTTTTTATTTAATTTTCCTCTGCCCTAATTTCTAAAGTAAATAAATGACTCCGCTGTAATCCTATTTGTGTATTGATGATTCAATGATTTAGGTCATTTGATAGGTGTTTGCTTTTCCATTGTGCGGGTAACGGCATGTCGGCCGTTTATCTGGTATCAGTCCAAGGTTTGCTTTGAATTATCAGGGTTGCGTAAACTTTACATGCCTGCGTACAAATATTTTTGGAGAAACCTCCTCGTTCGGAATCGGGACAGTAATCAGGGCTCTTGGTTATAAATAAAAAGCATAGAGATACCGCAGGTTCGTTGCCGAAAACAAACTTTCCTTACCTAGAAATCTACTTTCCCTGAATTCCATCAAGACCTCAAGGTCGCACAGAATGCAATACACACGTCTACACCTCGGCTGAGCTCTAGTACACATACGTTAGCGTTGCTTACTATAAATAATTGAGAAGATAGATAAATAATTGGTGTTTAAAAAATCTGGTGTGTCCACTCACACGACTTTCCTACCTATTTCAGAAAAGTTATTATATCTTTACATATGTTCATGAACAAACAAAAAAGAATTAAACTAAATTTATTTTCCTGCAAATTGAACAAACAAAAGATTTGAGTACGATTTATTTGATAAACTAAAGCAATGAAACTGACTTAAGGTAGATCAGTGTAAAAAATTCAATACTCACTAATATTGTTGATCAAAAACTTTTTGCCATAGCTTAGTATTGTCAAACAATAATAGTGAATATTGTGTGTGGCGGGCAGATTTTCTTACTTTCACTTAGTCATCTTTATTCTCTCGTTCACCCCTTTCTGACACAAAGAAATGAACTCGTAATCTTTCATTGGAATAGCTGTAACTTCGTTAATAGTTATCCAAAATGAACGATTTTTATATGGCATTGTAGGGAATTTCATTACCTTTCAAACGATAGGCTTAGCGCCGTTTAGTCTATATACGAAAATAATTAGGAAGGACAATAATTAGAACATAATAGAAAAGTTTCATCAAAATCGTTAGAGCCATTTTCGCGCTACAGTCTATAGAAAAACATGTTTTTCATTTATTGCGCGCAAGATATTGCGCATGGAGCAACGAATTTCTGTCACAGGCATCAGTAGTCAAAATCCTACAAAATAAAAAAAGAAGTAACAAAATCGGTTCAGTAGTTCTCGAGAAAATCTTGGTACAGACAGACCAATGGCTACAAATGTGTTTTTCGGACTCACGGAGCTGTGAAACGTATAGATCCGTCGAAAACCGCATGTCGGAAATTTGACCCGATTGCAATACTTTCCTTACCTAGTATAGGTAGGAAAGTAAAAAAGCTTACAGAAGGTATTTTAGAAAGCAAGGTAGCACGAATGATAAAGACCGTTTTGAAGGAAGCAATTCGTGAGAATAAACGTACAATTTGGTAGGCCAAAATCTTGTGTTTAAAGAATGGAAAGATGAACAAGAAGTCAACAACTAGGGTATGGAAACTTTTTCGTTCTAAAATGTGTAAAGATAGACATCGAGACAATATTGTCGTCGAGAATAAGATAAATCCATCTTAAATTGGCGTACCAACTGGAGACTTGGGAGTGCTTGGTGTCTTCGAAGATAAATTTAATGAAACAATTCATTAGAATCTTGTTTTCATCTATAATAAACTTGACGAAAAAGGAACCGGCGGGTTTTAAGGGGCATATAGTCAGGAAATCTTAGGAACCGTTTGAGGATAATAATGAATTTTTGGCTGATTTGGGAAAAATGACTATTCCAGGATAGGTGTTAATAAAAACACATTCCAAGGTTTCTAGCTGAGGTGGGGAAGTGGATAGTTAAGAACGATTACTTATATCTTCTTGTAGCTATAGGGTCACTTCGAGGGCCTCAGTAGGATACAAGTTCGGAGATCATCGACATATAAGTGATATTGAGAATAGTGAATGGAATTAGGAATATTGTTATTATAGATAGAGAAAAGGTTTATTGTTAGTGAGGACCCCTGAGGAACAAGATGAGGCGTCAAATATCACAATTTTAAAAAGTGGCAAATCTGTCCCACATAGCTCAAAAACGGTAGCGGACGTACTTAAATTTGGCGCATTAAAATGTATTCCTCTTATGTCAATACACTCAAAATCATTAATAGCATAAATTTTTATTTTCTTAGCATTAAATACTTTTATAAGTGAAGTGAAACAAAATTTATGATAATAGGCCAAAAATACCATTTCGATAACAAGATCTGCGTAGAAAGGAAATTGCCACAGCAACTTCAATGAATGACCAACGGTTGGAAAACGAACTCAAAAAGAGCTTTCTTCTGTCTGTTAAAGGTATTAAAATTTCGGAAAAAAACCAACACAAGAAATCTCAAATTAAGAGATACTGCTGCGATACTTGGATCCTAGAAAAAATAGTACTAAGGGATGGATGATAAAGAAATGCTTACAGAAACTGATCAATACATATCTCATATTACGAAGGCAATGAGATTAAGATGGGCGGTGGATACAGCTCGAATAATCCATCTGGAAGCCACTAAACAATAATGACTGCCTCAATAGTAGGCAAGATACCACTTGGAAGGCCAAAGGCCAGATGGTTAGATCTAATCAACAAATATGCAGCTAACTGGAAAGAAATAGCTGGAGATAGGCAGACATGGAGAAGGCTGGTTAAGGGAATAGAATATCTACAAAGTTTGTAATGGTAACAGAAAAAGAAAACAAAAATTATTTTAATTCAAATTATTTGAATATTTTATCTGATAAGTGGGATCAGTCATTATAACTAGAGTTTTATGCAGTTCGAAATGCCTGGGACTGCATTTAGGAGAATAGGTTGGATTTTGAGGATTACCTCTTTGACTATCCTTCCAAAAATTCTGTACTTTGAATAAATTTGTAAGTACAACAGTTATAATTATGCAATGGATACAAACATACCTGTTAAGGTAAAACGAAAATATAGGCTGAGAAAGAAGATTCTGCTTGATCATGTTCTCGAAGAGAGTGGTCCTTTCCTCGCTAGCAGTGAACGACATCCCGAGGATCCCGTCGAAAGTTTGTCCATCGCAATCGCCCCGAAGGCTGAGTCCAAAAAGCTGTTGTTGTACCACTATATCTCCAACCTGTAACAAAAATATTAAATTTATTTAGTTATTTATGAAAAAATAAAATATTAATAATAATAAGAAAAATAAAGAACCCCACTGAAAAATCTTTCTGAAGATATGAAGATTAAAAATAAAACCTAGAAAGCATTCTTCCTGTATAAAATACTGAACTTGCGAAATGTCTAAAGAAAGCTTTTGATCCTGTAATTGGTAGCTACATGGATTTTCATTTTTTATACGCTGAAAAACCGTAAACTCCACAGTCGTATCATTATAGCGGCTCTGGGAGTTGAAAAATGTTCCTTAATGCACAACTTACCATAAATATAGTTTGAAGTTACTAAAATCTAAGGCCGCAAAAAATATTTAAACATATTAGAGTCAGGAGCATATCGAATCAAGGGGAGACTATCTTACGGAAAATCTTATACACAACTATTACGGTGTTCTATAAGTTCCTTCCTTTTCTTTTATTTATTGTTTAAGGTTGGTTTCCCCTCCCTTACTCCCATCTCTCATATTCTCTCTCTTTGCAAAATTTTTGAGACTTACTTGCAAAATATTCATCGAGGTGCGCTTTTATTTCGCTTTCGGACCTGTGACATTTATCACGGTGAGAATTTTTTAACGAACACCGCATGTTGCGCGGGTAAGACAGAAACTCTTACATTTTGACTGAGACATTCTACCTCATCCTCCGTACTCCTTGCCCCATCCGATTATTATTGGGTTAGCAAATAAGTCCTTTCGATTTTTCAGGGTGAAATAAAACTCAATGTATTATAGACATAAAATTTATTTTAATCTACAATATATTGACCATTATTTAATATGACTTTTTCCCATCTTTCCACTAACTGCATAATGCCATGTTCATAGAATGTCTGAAGTTTATTGTTGAAAAACTGACCCAAGTGGTTTTTGGTGTCCTCTTCCTTTTGGAATTTCTTTCCATTCATGGAGTTCTGCAGAGACCGGAATAAGTGGTAGTCACTTGAAGCTAGGTCTGGTGAATAGGGAGGATGGTGACCAATGAGGTGTGGGGCCCAGCGTTGTCTTGGTACAACACAACACTCTGTCGATTTGCCAGTTCTGGGCGTTTATTTTTTATTTATTGATCAAATTTTGTTAATTGTGAGCAGTATAGAGTTGAATCAATTGTTTGTCCTGATGGCAATAGCTCATAGAAAATAACATCCTTGAAATCCCACCATAGGGATAGCATTATCTTCTTTGGAAGCAATCCATGTTTTGACATTCTTCTAGGAGCCTCACAACTAGGCTCCCAAGATTTTCTACGTACTACATTATCGTAAAATATCCGTTTTTCATTAAGCCTGGAAACATAGCCGAGCTTGTGCAAATGGTTTTCTACGCTTGTGTGCGACACATTTAAGGCAATAGCAATATCTCGCAATGATTTGGTGGGAATTTGATCAACAATGGCAGTAACATTACTCTTTTCATTTTCATGTGGGCGACCAGACTGCTGAGCATCGTGTCAAAATTTCTTGAATGACAATTGGTAAACCAATTTTGACAGGTGGTTCCGTTAAGGCATCATCCCCATAAACACTGCAAATTGTTCAGAGCTTCTGCATCAAGGTTACCTTTTTTAAAATAGTACAACAAAATATGTCGATAACGAATGATATTTTCTTCCATATTCACAGTGCAATAGCAAACACAATACTAAGATAGTTTTAACAATAGTTAATACATATAGTTGTTGACATATTGCAAACATGATAAACAATCTACCTTAGGGATTAATTCATCAGATAAGAAGTGTATCATAGTGACATAAAAATAAACCGAAAGGACTTATTTATCAAACCAATATTTGATTCTTTCTTTAAGAAGGTCCTTCCGCGAATAAATGCCATAAATTCAAAATCGAAATAAAAATACACCGCGATGAATATTTTGAAAGAAGTCTCAACAATTTTGGAATGCGATAATGTCCCTTCTTCGTTAGAGTTGAAAGAAAGTAATAGAGCAGAATGGTTCATATATAACAAAATAATTTTCTTCCCATCTTTTTTATTTTTTTATTATTATTTTTTATTTTTTTTAAGGTAAGTGACAATTATTTCGTTTCATTTCTTATCAGTATTGTATATAGCTCTAGGTTTTTGTAAATAATTTTATTGTTTGATTTTGCATATAATTTTAGTATAATTAAGTTTTATTATGTCTCTATTATTTAATGTAATAGTTCTTGCTAGAAGTTTTTTTTTTGTATCATTGTGTTATTCTTAAGGGACTTCGCCCCAGAATAAAGTTATTTTTCTATTTCTATATCTATAGAGTGTGAGTGTGCCATAGAGTGTGAGTGTGCCTTCTCTGAACACTATTATAAATGTCCTTGATGTGACAGAATGTAATATTTCTAAATAAACAAATATAAAAAAAAAAAAAAAAAAAAATTTCTATATCTATTTCTAAATCAAATTCAAACAACAAATAAAAGAGAAGGAAGGAACTTATGGCGGAGAAAGCCATTGTATATTTATAACAGAAAGAGAAAAGAATAAAAATATGTTTTCCGCTAAAGCAATTTTAGTTTTCTTTATATAGTTTAAATTTAAAATAGGCAGAACAGAAGAGGGTGCCATAGCGAATTATTTTGATAAGTAGTTACTAATTTTGGAAGGGAACCAAGTTTTTTATGAAAATTCAATTTGGGAAGATTTTGAACAATAAATAAAGGAAAAAATTAAGCATGATGTTGCTTCCACTTGCTCCGTTTTTGAAAAAGTGGAGAAACATAAGATTTCTTAAAGGAGGGGAGCATCCATGGTTTAAAACATACATCGTTCGTATAAAACGCTTTAGTAAAAATCTATCAAACTGTAGACTCTTTTATTATTAATATTAGTAGACATTTAATTTCATTGACAAGTCCTGTTGTTTTCTCAACGGATGAGATTTAGTTCATAATTTTTTTTGGGAGATTTATACGGGGTTGTGAATTTTCTGAGGGTTATACAATATTTCTGTAGGGTTATAATTTGGTGAAACCTTCAAACCAGAGAAGAAGGAAAAACCTGAAACAGTCCAACGAAACTTTAAGTACAATTTTTCAAATTATACTTTCTGTATAAGAAGGAGTTGATCGGGGGGTGCGGTCAAATAAATACTAAATTATACAAATAGTATTATTTAATTTTTGCCTTGTATTGTATAATTTAGTATTCTATTTGTATAATTTAGTATTTATTTGACCGCACCTCCCCTCCCCCCCTCCTCCGGATCGGATAATTAGGAGATAAGATATGGTCTCTAGTTTTTTTTAATACGTTTTTGTGCAATTGTTATATCCTTTGTTTCGGTTTTTGAATTTTGAATGTGTTAATAAGGTAATGCTAATTTTTTTAAAATGTATTTAAAATCCACCTAAGCAAGTTGATGGCATTGTTCAAAAAACTATTTCAGTGTACTTGTGTGAAAGAAGAAATGAAATATAAAATCATTTCATGGATGTATAAATCATGTGTTTGTAATATTAAATACATTTACTGTAGTTTAGTAATTATTTATTAAATTTTAAATTGGTCCGTAATCGTCTTATCTTTTTGGCTACATTCAAGGAATTGCTGTGTTATATATGTGTGAGATGTTATATTGCGTTCCTAGCGTTTGAGAATTTAAAGAGAAAAAGGGAATTTTTTTTTATTTTGGGAAAGTGCTATGTTATGCTAAGTCTATTGTTTAGTATGGCTTATTCTTGATAATTTGTAAGAGTATTGTTATGAAGGGGGAGAAAAAAAAATATATATATAATATAAAATTAATGTCCATATGGATTGATAAATATGCTGTGTACGAAGCAACCCTATGTAGTAGGGCAGCGTTACTTTTAATAAAGTATTTCTCTATAAATAATTAGGTATTAAAGCTAATTCCAAAATATTGTTATATAACTTTTTAGAAAACTAAATTAGTGAATAATTCGATAGATCTTCTCTTTGTGATATTCCTCTACCATTTCATTGTACTTGTGTGAAAAAAGAAGTGAAATACAAAAATATTTCATAGATACGTTTATAACCCTAAATATATTTACTGTAGTTTAATAACTCTAGATCTCATAATATATTTAAATATTTAGATATCTATCGTCCATTTATTCCGAAAAATCATCATGTAACCTTTTAGAAAATTAAATTAGTGAATAGTTTGATAATTCTTCTTTTTGCCATATTCCAACAGAATCCACTTACAATTAGTGTGACAACTTTTGACCTGTCTATGACAGACACTGCAAATCTCTTAATTCCGTTTTAATTAGCTTTGCAATGGAAAATAACAGTTTAATGACTTATAGTCGTACAATCCATAATCAATGGATTGAACAATCCATAATCAACGAATCGTACAATCCATAATCAACCGGTGATATAAGAAATAGGACTTTTGTTATTTTAATAGCATTCGTGTTTTTTTAGCTTTAGCTCAGTTTAAAATGCAATTTAAAACATTTTATAATAGTCTAACATGGCCAGAAAATAATTTTTATTCAAAGTTCAAAGAGTAAGTGAAAGTTGTGTGTTGCGCGCACCAGATTTTTATTACATGGAATGTTCAACAAACAGACCCTTTTATTTAAATAAAATAAGTCTCTGGGATTTTAAGTTAATTTAAATAGCTGATATCATTTCTAATTATTAGAAGCGTTATTATACTCGAATATTCTACTATATTTATATACAAGATGTTTTACCAATTACTCACAGAATGACGATATCGCTGATAAGATTAGATTGACATATTACGTTGAGGGATACACAGACGTCAATAATCTAAATGAAGTCTCAGAATTATCTAACTGTCTTACCTCGTAGAGGTGAAATAATGCAATCTGATTAATGAAGTTTGAAGATATTTTAAAATATGCTGCAATGTAAAAAGATATAATATGATGAATAAAAATTGGTGATACATTAAAACATGCTGAAATGTAACATGATATAGTACGATTAATTAGGTTTGATGATATTTTAAAATTATGCTGCAATGTAAAAAAATGTATTATGATTAATAAAGTTTGATGATATTATGAAATTATGCTGCAATGTAAAAAAATGTATTATGATTAATAAAGTTTGATGATATTATGAAATTATGCTGCAATGTAAAAAAATGTATTATGATTAATGAAGTTTGATGATACTTTAAAACATGCTGCAATGTAAAAAAATGTAATACGATTAATAAAGTTTGATGATACTTTAAAACATGCTGAAATGTATCATAATATAATATGATTAATAAGGTTTGATGATATTATGAAATTATGCTGCAATGTAAAAAAATGTATTATGATTAATAAAGTTTGATGATACTTTAAAACATGCTGCAATGTAAACAAAATGTAATATGAATAATAAAGTTTGATGATACTTTAAAACACGCTGAAATGTAACAGAATATAATATGATTAATAATGTTTGATGATATTATGAAATTATCTTCCAAGGAGTGTCGGTATATCTAACGATTCTTTACGACCTTTTATATTTATTGCTCTTTAATCAGAAATTAATACTAAAAATAAAACGTAATTTTATATTTGATTCAATAGTTCTATAAAAATAGCAAATATGCGACACAATTACCCGATTACAATCATATTGGGAAACCTGCTCACTGTAATTACCGAATCAAGATCACTGTAATCGTAATCATGTAATCATGATTACTGTAATCTTAATCGTTGATTATGATTACGCCCATCTATGTCTTTAACATTTTTTTTTATATCTAAATCTGACTTCTTAAATTCGTTCCGTAACTTACGGACTGCGATAAAAAATTTATCTACTTTCATTATTTTTCTTCTTATTTTTAATTCTTGTAACTTTTATATTTATAAGTTATAATAAACCAACCACATAGTCTTATGCCTCCAAAATGAAGGTTAAGAAAAAGAAAAAAAAAACCGTCAACCTTTCGCCAATTCAGGCATCAGCAAGACAGAAAAGTAAAGCAAATTGAAGTATCACCCAATGACATCCAATCGTATACTCCGTCGTAAAAAAAAAAAAGCTTGGTGTATTGTTTCTTAAAGCCAATTTGACTGATTTACCGAAAGCCTATGAACCATACAAATCCATGGATAAGAAAAAGTTTATCGTTTGACAGTTATGTGTAAAACTATTACAGTAAAGTTTGATTTACAGATGGTACTCCCATAGATAATTTTTAGTTAGATGTTTACAGCTAAAAAAATCTGGTGCGCGCAACACACAACTTTCACTTACCGCTCTACTTTGAATAGAAATTATTTTCTAACAATGCTGGGCTACCATAAAATTTTTTGAAGTTCATTTTAAACGGAGCTGAAGCTTAAAGCTTACAGATAACAAGTCAGACTATTATAATTACAAAATGTCTATTTAATATATCAATGATAGGCAATAAAAATCTAGTCACTCCATCTACTTTTATGAACCATACAACTTTCTTTGCTTTTATAAACTTCAGAATGACTAACTCCAATTTCAAAATTTTTGAGTAATGTGATTTTAGTGATATTTTTAGTAGAAAAAGTTATCTATGCAGACAATGAGCAAGTTGATTCCGAAGGGGGTGATTGTAGTGTTGAAATATAGAACTGAGAATAAAGGTATAAATTTAGGTACTTATTTCTTATGAAAAATGTTCTTAGGAAAGATACTTTATTAAATATCTATAGAAAAAAGAGTTTTTTAGTCTCAACAATTAAAAAAGTATATTTTAAATTTATCCAAATTTTCGCCCCTTCAGGGAAAAAAACTAGAGACCATATCTTTCCTCCTAATTGTCCAATTTTAACGAATTTGGTTTGGTTTTTTAGGAAATGCCATAAAATTTTAAAAAACCATCGACAAAAAAGTGTATACTTTTTGAGTTATCCGGAATGTAATTTTACCATCCCTCGTAAATTTTTTTTCCAGCTTCTTTTCGTTGAAATATGTTATGTAGATAAATTTAAAGGTTGTCGAGAAAATCACTTTAGCGGAGTTTCATTGAAATTGGTACATTCGTTTAGAGCTTTAGTTTAGGGCTCAAAACATGTATTTCCGTTGAAAACTGAGATTCGAAAATTTTCACTATCGCAATACTTACCCTTACTATATATTACATATATTAGTGTAGCCCAAAATCGGTCTTGGTCTTGCAAAGTGCAAGACCAAGACCAATGCCGCCTAACTATTGCAAGACCAAGAGCAGGACTGGTAAAAAAATCGATGTTTTTAATAAAAAATTAAGGCAAAATAGTTACTAATACTCGACAATCTTAGTTACTATATGTAAATAATTGGTATAACCAATATAGTTTTGCAATTAATTCCTCTAATTTTTCATTCAGGCTTAGTTAGGTTTCTCCTATCTACAAAATACAGTACTGTAAGACTGTTGCGAGACTCTTGTGCAAGACCAAGACCATGACCAAACTGAGTTTGCAAGACCAAGACTCGTCTGGGTCTCACATTTGGGCAACACTAACATATATACATAAATGAAAGTAAAAAAAAAAAAACTAAGGTGCGTGCTTAAGACCCCACGATAGAAGTGAAACCATCAATAAGGCGGCATTAATAATATAAGTTAGAATATTTTTTTGTCCCTAATCACAAAGTAATAACATTTACAATATATACAATCATAATTGTGTGTATATGTATGTACACAAGTAATACGTAAAAGTACACAAGCACATAAAAGACGTTAATTAGTAATAAATAAGTAAGACAATTATACAATACTGATACTTTTTCAAATAATGCTTCTGTAACAGGGGTCAGTAATTTGCCATACACCATCGAATGCAAAATAAAATCTAATAGAAATACTTAATTTCTTATTTTTACGGCTTATTTAAAAAAAATGCCTAAATCGACTTCTGCTAATTGGTTCATGAATTCTCCATCGTTCTTAAATTTTGAAATATTTCAGCGCAAATGTTCAAAACTGTCATTATTTGTTTTTTTTTAGAGCTATCTTTTTCCCTTTCCGAATCTCTAACTTGGCTTCATGTTAAAATATAGTTTTTAATTATGGTTTATTACAAATAGGATGAATTGCTGAACATGTCCCTATGTAGGTCAAATTTTGAGTTTCTGCTATATTTTAATACAAATGCTACAACACTTCAATTAGCCGACTCGAGCTGACTTTACCCGAATGAGGTACAAGTCCGTCTCGTGACGTGACGGCTCCGTTTCATTTAATAACTACAAAAAAATTGCAAAGAAATTATTATTTAAATATAGATTTATAATTATTATATTATGCCTTGACTTACCGTAACCGTATCCTTGGCCAGAGCAACGTCTAGGTGACCCTTAACGTACTGATAGGAAACCTTTTGATTAGCGCTTTGGTAAGTTCGTGAATTTTTATTTCGGAACTGAGAATGGTCTCCAGCACCTAAGAATCATTTTTTTATTATTTACTTATGTAATATATAATCAGTATACATAATATATATGGGTGTATGTACAGGGTGTTTCAGGGTTATGTTCTAACTGAAAATATGAATTAAGGATCTTAAAACAAGAAAAATCTAAAGAAATTGCCATAAAGGTTCTTCCACTGCAACACTATACAAGGTGTTTCGTAATTACACGGCATTATTTTAGGTATGTGTTCTAACGCAAAATAAACAAAAAGTTCATATTAACATATATCTCAAACTCATTTATTAAACAGATATCAAAGGTTAAAGGTTTATTAATTATTAGTATTACAACATTTAGAGTAACTGTTCAAAGGGGCCTCCGTTTTGTTGAAAGCAACATTCAGCACGACGAATCCATGCTTCTCTGGTTCTTCGTAAAGCATCAGGATGGTGCTTGATAGTTACTGCGGCTTCCACGATCCGATTTCTTATCTCTTTTTGCGTGCCATCTGCCGTAGGATCACAAATTAGATCTTAATTCGGAGATCGTGGTGGCCATTGAAGAGGTCCGTTTCGACCAATCGGTCTCCATAAGTTGTATTTAAAAGTGACACTATTAGAAAAGTGGGCTAGAGCACAGTCATGCATAAATCACAGCCTTTGCCTAATGCCTAGCGGAATATCTTCTGCGAGTTCATGAAGATTATTTTGCAAAAAATGCAAGTAAGATATAACCTGACAGCCTAGGCGGCAAAAAGAAGGGGTCGAAGATGTTGTCGCTTAGAAGATCACATCAGACGTTTAAAGAAAAGGTATGTTGGTAATGTCCATCGGCAGTCGTATGAGGGTTTTCTTCAGCCCAAGTATGGGTATTTCGAAAATTAAGAATTCCGTTTCTTGTAAAGCAAGATTTATCAGTAACCAAAATGCAGTTCAGGGAGTTAGAATCTCGTGTGTATTGTCGAATTAACAACTGGAAGAAATTTCTGCGCTTGTTATAATCTTGTGGTAATAAATCTTGCCTACTCGAAACGTGAAATGGATACAATTGTTGTTCGCGTAAAGTTCGCCATGCGCTGGTAGAGGAAACATCGAAACGACGTGACAATCTCCTGATACTAGTAGTAAGGAGATAACTGAACAGCATTGAGTATTTCTTCTTCAAAGTTTGCAGTTCGTCGAAATCTTTGCCGACCGGTGTTTACTTGTATAGGTTTTAGCGTGTCATTATCTCTATGGCGTCTTTCAATGACTTGAAACGTTATAAGATTTGGTATTCTTCGGTTAGGAAATTTTTCACCATATCTTCGAACAGCAGCAGCGCCGTTTCTATGTACCTCGCCATAAGTTAAAAGCATGTCTGTTTGTTCTGCAAAAGTGAACAAATTTATACTGTCACCCATGATAATCATAAATTGTCATAAATCATAAAAAATCATAAACCCATGATAACTGCGTCACAATATTCACTCACACTAAAACACACAGAACTAGACAGATGAGCGACTACTGTCATTGCTTATCGTTCATTTGTTTATCAGACTATTAAAACCTGTTATTTATTATTGAACACGTTAAACTGTGTACAGTCAGTTTTAATGTAGTAAATAAATAATAAATCTTTAACCTTTGATAACTGTTTAATAAATGAGTTTGAGATATATGTTAATGTTTATTTTTTTTGTTTATTTTGTGTTAGTGAGCACATACCTAAAATTAGGAACACCCTGTAAAGGTGTTATTTTCAGGGGAGACCAGAAGGTTGCGCCATTGAAATTTTTGAGGGAGTCATATTTTGACTGGATTTTGAATTTTGAGGGGGGCCAAATTTCGGTGGGGTTGTGAATTTTCGGAGTGAAAAGTTTCAAATAGGAGGACTAAGGGGAAACATGTGAGAGACTAGAGCAAAGGGGTGGCCGAATGGGTTAAATGGGGAGTAATCTACGATTTTTCTAATTCTACTATCACTTACACTGTTATCAAGTAGGGCAGAAGCAATACAGTTTCTGAGAAGAGAGGGGAGGTTCATATGCCATCGACCTTGGGGGGGGGGAAGAGAGAGATGGGCACCTCCTGATTATTGTATTCGCAAGTTTCTATTGGTCTTTTTCGTAAAGTTAAGCTCATTGACCGGCCGTGCATAGACTTTTTAATTAATGTTACACAAACGAAAAATTCCATTTTATCGAAATATTTTCATACTTACTGCCACATGTTGTTGAGTCGTTGATAGACGGAATCCAGAACAGATCGGAACCCGTATCGAATAATACATTGAATTCTTGTGGCGGGGTTCCAACAGATACAATTCCATAATATTGTAACTGAAAAAATATATTGAATATTTAATAGTTGACCGTTGCATTATTAATGAAGGAGATGGTCTGGGGTGGCGGTCATATATAGAGGTATATATGGTACTATATATAACCGCCACCCCGGACCATCTCCTTCCTTGAAAAATAAATGTTTATATTAGCTACTATTTGGAAAATAAAAAAATAAATATAATTTGTGGAGAGGTGGTATATAACCGGTCTAACAGAAATGTTTGAAAATTACCAAAAAGGCCGAAACGTTAGAATATGTTGATGTAACCTAATAAAAGTTTTCGATAAAATTTTACTATAGTACAAATCTAACATTTTATTTACAACAAAATTTATATATTTTTAATTTTCATTCATTTCGTAAAAAAACATATATGACAAGCTTATAATTAATGATCCTTTGCAGATTTATCATTATTTTATTTATTTTTATTGTATTTTATTATTATTTTTTATTTTTATTTGTTTCATTTGTTCATTTCATTTCATTTCAAGTTCATTTGTTTATTAATCTCAATTCATTTATTGATTTTACTGCTATTTTTTAAAAGTTTATTCATTTATCTATTCTATCTTATTATCTATAAATGTCTATTATTATCCTTATTTATTTATCTTATTCTATCAACCCTTTTTTTTTTTTTTTTTCCGACCATCCAAACAGTAATAAGTAGTGTTATTGAGTTTATCGGGCGCTTAAGACCTGGATGTTTTGCGCCTAGACATCCAAACAAACAAACAAAACATTCATTTAGTTAAAAGATTTATTTTTTGATGAATTATTTTTTTTAATCTTTAAGAAATGCAAATATCATTACATTCCTAGAAAAAAAAAAGATTGGTTTTGAAAATAAACTTGTCTTTTTGGGATATAAATGAGTTTAAAATAATGCTAATTACTAAAGGTTAACTAATGATAAATTGGACATTATAAAACATAAACTTAATACATTGATCGAGTTGTTTGTTTCCAGTGTGAACTCTAAATATTATTTCAGTAAAAGAGAAAAATTAAATTTTCTATCGCAACTGTAATTAAAACCGATAGTTTAAAAAAAAAAATTAATAAATTCTTAATTAGTGGAACATATTTCCTAAAACCACTGATTATTCCACTAGAAATTAAAAACATTGAAAATTGAATAGGGTTATTTTGGTAAAGAAATAAACTTCAAGATCCGAAAATATTGTTTTTATAAAAATTCACTATAAAAAATTCCGAGGATAGAACTCAGATTTTGTTTAATAAAATAGGGGTAATGCATTATACAGATATAATTATTAAATCTGAAACTTACATTTTTGAAATTTATAAGATCTAGAGACATTGGAAATCTCCCTCTGAACAACCTGTTTGCTCCGGTACGAAAAGGTAATGCTTGCTTCACTTTGACTTTCTTCAAAGGGATGCTGAAAAGAAGATTATTTAGTTAAATTGAAAGTATATTTTTATTATAATATAAACATTAGAAAATGTTGATTAATTTATAAATATACTTTACATTACGAAAGAAAAAGATAAATATTATAAGCGATGATAGTAGTCTTCAGGTGCAATAAAAAAATATTAAAAAATCTGGTGCGCGCAACACACAACTTTCACTTACCGATCTACTATGAATAGAAATTATTTTCTGGCAACGCTGAGCTATTATAAATTTTTTTGAAGCGCATTTAAAACGGAGCTAAAGCTTAAAGCTTACAGCTAACAATTCATTAACACCATTATAATTACAAAATGCCTATTTAATATATCGACAACAGGCAATAAAAATCTAGTCACTCCGTCTGCTTTTATAAACCACACAACTTTCTTTTATAAACTTCAGAATGACTAACTCCAATTTCAATATATTTAAGTGATGTCATTTTAGTGATATTTTTAGTTGAAGAAGTTATCTATGCAGACAATAAGCAAGTTGATTCCGGAGGTGGTAACCGCAATGTTGAAATATAGAAATGAGAATAAAGGTATACATTTAGGTACTTATTTCTTATGAAAAATGTTCTTAGGAAAGATACTTCATTAAATATCTGTAGAAAAAAGGTTTTTTTAGTCTAAACAATTAAAAAAGTATATTTTAAATTTATCCAAATTTTCGCCTCTTCATGGAAAAAACTAGAGACCATATCTTTCCTCCTAGTTGTCAGAGCTTAACGATTTTTTTTTTTTTTTGTTTTTTTAGGAAATTCCACAAACCTTTAAAAAACCATCGACAAAAAAGTGTATACTTTTTGAGTTATTCGGAATTTAATTTTATCATCCCTCGTTACTTTTTTTCCAGCTTCTTTTCGTTGAAGTGTGTTATATAGATAAATTTAAAGGGTGTCAAGAAAATGACTTTAGCGAAGTTTCATGGAAACCGGTACATTCGTTTAGACGCTACAGTCTATAGCAACGAAGGTTTTTCTGCATTTTTTTTTCTCCTTTATTAACTTAACAAATTCTTTCAAAAGTTATATTTAGCATTTTTTCATTACTTTGAATAATGTGAAATGATAAACTTTTTAAAATAAACCATATTAAAGGTACTTTAGAGAAAGACATATATGAACATTGGGCATTTAAGCCCAATAAAGTGACATCAATGGGGATAAGACCTAATTGATATTAAAGACCACTTAATTATACAATGATACACCGAGTTTAATCAAAATCGTTAGAGCCGTTTTTGAGAAAATTGTGAAAATGTGTTTCAGCGTTGATATAAAGGGGCATTTCCGGTTAGCCGATTTTAAGAAAAAAGTTACACATCTGAGGCATATACCTATCTTAAATACGTAATATCAGTTTCCTAGGACTTTTCGTTTTTGAGCTAGACTGCTAACATACAAACACACAGAAACACAGACCATTTGGACTTGGTCATTTCGACTCTGGGTACCTCAAATGAACAAAAAAAAAGGTTAAGTGGGGTTCAGTTAGAGGAGAAAAAAATATTAAAATTTTACTATAAATAAAAATTAAACATTTTAATTACAACAAAATAATATATTTTTAATTTTTATTCTAATAAAACAGTTTAAAAAAAATTAATTGATCTATTATGTTTTTAAATATTTTATAAATGCAAATATCATTACATTCCTAGAAAAAAAAAAATTGATTTTGAAAAATAAATTTATTTTTATACAACTTCTTTTTGACATTTTGATTTCTTAAATAAATAACCACATAAAACAATAAATAACTACACAATCGGATTTATTGGGTGTTTTTACATAGAAATAGATACTTATTTCGATTTGTAAAAAAATTTGTTTTGGTTCACTTTGCAATTGAGCGATTCATTTGCCCTATAGAAAATTAGGAAAATTAATTTATTTTTCTTAATGTGAGGTTTTTTTTTTTGTTGAATAGAAAGCGATAACTAAAATAAAAAATAAAAAATTCTTCAGCCGCAAGAAGAGTTTGTCTTTGATAAAACTATTTGAACGGATCTTTTTAGCAACTAAACGACACCAATTTCTGTTTTTCATATCATCATTCACAGATTTCTTTGCTATCTCACCAATTTTAGGAAATATTCTTTGTTTAATTAGCTTCGTGCCCATACTAGTATTCCAAGTGTTGCTTCAAAGAGCAACAGAATAAATCGTTTTCTTCTTAGACACTTGGATGATAGCTGATATCGTTGAAATGCAATTTTCTGACAACGGGAAAATCCAAGGATGTTTTCTACTGATAATACATTTAATACCACTCGATAAACAATTCGCAGCTAATTAAAAATAATATTAAGTGTCTAAATACTTTTTTAAAAAAAATCATGAAGGATTTCTTTTAACTAAAGTACCTGTTATATAAATAAGTAAGATTGCGTCTCCTAAAGAGTAAGATAAAATATATTTGCGCTTGGCTACGGTAATATTCTCTATGAAGTAGTTCATAAAAATATCTGTATTTTTTTCTCTCGAAAAATAAGTTCTCTGTTATTAATATGGAAGATATATAATGTTTTCTTTGTTTTGTTTTTTATAATGTTTATACATTATTTAATTTAATACGGTAATTTAGTTTATTTATATCATATATAGGTTTTTTATATTTTTCCTAATGTATAGATCAGAGTTATTTATGCCGAATGAATAGCAATTGAATTAGTATTATAACTTGCGTAACATAACGTCACCACGAGCATGTAATAATCATTATGACATAATGTGTTGTAACAATATGAAAATAAATAATAATTGTTTTACTTTCACCACTTACCTATATATAAAATATATAGAAAGGAAAAGTATTGCGATCATGAAAATTTTCGAATCTGAGTTTTCATCGGAAATACATGTTTTGAGGTCCCTAGAGTCGAAATAACCAAGTCTCGCAGAATGTGTGTGTTAACAATCGAGCTCCAAAACGAAAAGTCGCATGAACGTGAAATTGCATATTTAAGATTTCTATATGCTAGGGATGTTACAACAACTTTTTCGTCATCATGGACTAAACATATGTTTACGATTTTATCGAAAACGGCTCTAAGAATTTTAATTAAATTCATTATATCAGCATACAATTAAGCAGTTTTAAATAAAATGTAGGTTATATTCTGATTGATGTTCTCTAATAGGGCTTAAATTGGCTAATTTTGAATATTAGCTTTTCTTAAAGGACTTTATTTATTTTTTTTATGAAACAATTGACCATTTCACATTCATCTCCAATATAAAAGATATTTAAATATAAATATGAAAGAATTTGATAAGTAACTGAAGGAGACACGGGCGGATCTACGGGGGGGGGGGGAGCTTTCGGGCTGAAGCCCCCCCAAAATGGAAAAATATAACGATGTTTTATGGGAAAATTTTTTTTAAAAATATCTCTTAAAGTATTATTGTTCGTGTAATTACATTTAAAAGTACTTAAGGAATAACTTAAACACCATTTCATATAGGTAGTTAGTTTCTTTCTGTTTTTCCAAAGTAATTATCGTTATTTTTATGAAAAAAAAAAGGTTTCGGGCTGAAGCCCCCCCAAAATTAAATCCTGGATCCGCTAGTGGAAGGAGAAATGAGAGATCGTAACGGAGAATAGTTGTAACTGAGGAACCAAAGGAGTACGAGAGCATCTGAAAGATTAGAACACGCTTGCGCACGTAATATGAGCATAATAAAGACTCCGACAATATTATGTAATTATATATATATATATATATATATATATATATATATATATATATATATATATATATATATATATATATATATATATATATTATATATATATATATATATATGCTGTTTTCATAGATGCTATTGTTGTTATTATTTAATATTTAATTGTATACATCATAAAATAAATATAAAAAAAACAATGAAATATAAATCAATTTAGTGTTTATAATTTTTACTTTAACTTCCCCTTTGTCAGAAAATACTTACTTCTGCTAAGAAAAGGAAGAGTAAGTGAAAGTTGAAACTAGTTTTTTTTTATTTTCGAATCTCCATCCGCACCTCATGATAATGACAATTAACAGATTTGTTGTTATGTTAGAAAATGGCGTTTTAGGCTTCCTGGTTTTTGTTCACTTGTTTAAATCAGGAAAGGAGATCTCTCATCCATCTCCTTTTCAGTCGCCCCCTGATGAACATATCGGCCGTGGCCACGTCGTTTACAAGTCTGTTGTGTCCGTGTAGCTTAATATGAAATCGGGAGTAAAGAGTACATGTATTGGTCGATAGTTTGTTGTCGTAAGTAAATAGATATGTAGAGTTTTGTCGTTTACGTACCAGTGAGCTGCTGTTATTAGTCATAAAATTATAGATTGAAAAGATTGTAGTTTTTATAAGTGAGTCTTTTTTTCTGAATTGTAAATCCGCGAGGCTTATGTCTAAATGTTTTCAAGTAGGTATTTATGTGTATTTAGTTTTCGTCTAATTTTCAATTTCGATATGTAAAAATGTGAGTACAGTATTTTCAGTCGTTTGTTTATAGTCTTTCGTTTCATTTTGACGTGTGGATTCTAGGTTATCCGTCTATTAAATATGAGTCCAAGATAAGGAAGTATATCAGAGAAATTTGGTTGTCGCTGATCACTAACGGATTCTGGATTTAATTTTGGGGTTGCTTCAGCCAGAAAGATTTTTTTTTTTGTAAGTATATAATACTATAATTACTTCGGAAGCAAGAAAGAAACTAACTACCTACATGAAATGGCGTTTAAGTAATTCTTTATTATTGTGCTATTAAAAACAATAATATTTATAGAGATAATGTTTTTCATAAAATATAGTTATATTTTACCTGTATATATTGTATATAGGTATGACTGTATTTTTAGGTTTTTAATTTACTTATATTTAGGTTATTTTATTTTTTTATTGTAAATAGTTTTTATTTATTATTATTTAGTTATTATTTTACTTTTGTTAATTTTGTTTCTTTTTTGTATATACGGAGTGAATGT